GGTCATAAATAGGGTAAGGGTTTTGGGAAGCGGGCCGCACACCCCCACCCGATTTTTCTGGGAGTACCCCCCGGGAGAAGAAGGCACTCCATGCAATGTTGTTAGAGCCCAGGAACACCATCTGGTGGATGCAAGAACAGCTAAGAATGCCATCCGCGGAAATTCAGTCTTGACATACCACTGACATGTTTACACCTCTCCATTTAGCAGGTCTAACTACAACATAAACTGTGCTACGTTCGATCATTGTTATTCTCATGTACACTCTGTCCCTCGTGACTTACCAAGCCATACAAGTCCTGTCTCTGTCGTTCCAAACTCTTTCTCAAAGGAGGTCGAAAATATGATGAAAAGAAAAGCCAGGTACCACATTGTGTGGTTGATAAACTTAGAGTAAGGATGTTCGTACTTCTCTCTGAACCTCCACCAGATGTTATCATCTTTGTCACAGCAAGGGAACTTACGTGCCAAGCGTACGGGTATGTAGAAGATGCAGGAAACTGCAACAAACAGGAGCTGGAAAAAGAACCAAGCCATTTTCTTCAAGCAGCTCATATTTTGCCAGTACGGCCACTCATAGTAAACAATCTCGTTGAGGACGGACTGGCATTTCGGACTCGTCACAAACTGCAAATCGAGAACGACAAGAACAAAAACCTTTTAGACATAAAAGTCGCTGAATATGTGGTACTGTTAAAAGCTGTACTAGTGCAACGGTAAATCGGTCAACACAGAGCTGCATTGGTTACCTCCCAGTAATTTGTCTGGTTGTCGAAATTGTTTCGGCAGGTTGTTTAAAATTCACAACAGGAAGGCCCGGACAGGGCTCGAACCGGCCGTACCCGGACCGCTGGATCCGGAGTCCATATCATGATATCTCGGTCATCTCACCTCCGCGGAAGGTTGCAATTGAAGTGCCTCTATATGATCAAATTCTCGATATCCGTTTTTTACATTTTCGTACACAATAGGTCTTTCCTAGAATCTTGCCAAACTTCAGTCTATTACAAACATTATAGAGCTCATGTTTTTTGGACCTTTATTTCCGAGAATTTACGACCGCCATTAATTTTCCTTGTTCCAAGTCTTTGTTCAGAATTGGAGTAATATGACGTCATTTACTCAAAAATACGGCACGGGTTGAAAATCATAGTAACAATTAATACAGCAATTCGCATGAAGAATAACAAAAACTTTGACCCTTATATTCGTGCAAATTTCTTCACTTATTGTTATTATAATTTCAACCACGATTGTATTCAACAAAATTGCTCAGACATTGAAGGGCTCGGCTCTGCAACTTTTCTCCAACGAATCACCACATCGACAGTGACAGTTGACAGTTTTGGCTATCAGTGATTTCTACATCTTCTCAAAGGTAACATTGAAATATCTGTGATCATTTAGTGATGTAATCCAAGTAACATAATAAACAAAGATGATATATCTGACAATTATATTAATGCTCTCGCTTTCGGAGATACAAATTCAATTTAGATCATTTGTTTCCGGTTTTTGCTCCCTATATCTATTATTCCTTTTCGAGTAAGTGCCGTGCAGCTGAGGTTTCCCTCAGAATGCAGTTTTTTAGAAAACTGAAATTATTGGCTTGTTGGTCATTGACTTATTTGGGAAAGATTTCGCTTCACTTAAACAAATACTCAACCTTTGGCTTTATAGGAAGATTTCAGCAAACAACCCAAAGAAAACAATAATGTTATTTAGTGTTATCTGAGCTTCCGGCCATTCACCTTAGTCATGCATGAACGTTTTTTTGTTCTTGGAATTTTCACGTCACACAACGCACGCAAATTAACATTGTGTTATGGGAATTACAGGAAACCAATATGCACATACCTTCTTTCTTTCTTTATCGGCAGCGATTTTGAGAAGAGTCAAACTCTGGTTGAAATTCATTGGTTTCTCCTGCAATAAGCAACCACTTCCCTCCACATCCAAAATCTCGTGAAGTTGGCCCAGATTACTTCCTTCGATAACATCGGTTGCAAATTTTTCATACTCCAGCGCCCTATTCATGTACTCGTCTCGACTGTAGTGATGTTCGTACAAAGCAATTTTCTCCAGGAGATATGCGTCGTCAAGACAGGTTTCGATGATGTCCTCAGACTTCCTATCTCTTGGTATTCTTCTGTTGTTAGGATTATTCCTCCACAACCATTCCAAGCCAATGTAAAGTGGGTCGGAGAGTATCCTGATCCATTGTTGTTCCTCTTCGTGTTGAAACTCTGTTTGTATTTCTTTGTCTTCACGGTATTTACTTCCGGAAGTTCCGTATCCACCGGTACGTCTTATTTGGCCTCTCAGTTTGCCCCACAAGCCCCTGAACAGACCCTCTTCTTTTAGACGTTCGTGTTCGGCCACCGATTGACAAATTTCATTTAGACTTTCAAGGGTCTTGACATCAGACTCTTTGGCTTCCGCTATTAGCTTCCAAACTTCAGCGGGATCTTTGCTTTCAAGGGCTTTCAAAAGTTTCTGCTTCTGCGTGAGATCACCCTCATCGTTTTTTTCACTTCTTGAACAATTTGGACTTATCGGCAGTAGACACCTCACATCTTCCTCTGTTCTATTTCTTACTGCCTCCAGGAAATCGAGGTAACTGTTCGAATAGTTTCTAGGCTGTTGTTGCACATGATTTTCGAAAACTTGATCGGTTGCCATCTTCTTACTGAGCAGTATCCAACGAAGAGTCAGTAGTGTTCAGTGTTCCTGCGTCGAAAGGCACATGATAGTCAGCCTCTTCTAAGGAATTGAACGTTGACCGGTAGCGGTCGATTTCCTAGAATCGAAGCTGCCTCGATCAGTACCCTGGGCCGTAGCGAATTGATGATCTGGTTCTGTATAGAACAACCCAGGAGCAGAAACTATTGTTCCCTTAAAACAGTGAAAGGGTCGTAATGAAACAGTTTGCAAATGATTGGCAGCTAAATTCGGCTCAGTTCACTGAAGAAAAAAATGAAGAATGAAAATGAAGTATTGAAGTCATTTAGAAACCGAGAGGAAACGTTAATAAAGGTATTTATTATATGGCTGTGTCTCACAAGGACTGGGAACTACCGAATTCACGAATTTGATTGGGTGAAATCGATATTGAAAGCGATCTAGATTTTCCCATCTAGACCAGCATCTAGACCGGTTACATATTGCGGAGAAAAAGTTGCAAGCTAAAATGCAAAACTATCGACTATTTTCTTCCAGCAATATTTATCTATGGAGGTGCCAAAAAGCCTGATGAGAAAAAGTAAAGAGGACGAGCAAACTTGGGCAGAATTATTTCAAGTTCAGCTCATCGCCGTTCGCAAGCAAACTGTCAGCTAGTACAAACCGGTTACATTAAATGAATTAATTTTTCTCGTTTGCCATATAATAAACATCTTATTAACCGAGCTTAGACGGTCTGTATGGGAGAATCTTGACTTCGGTCGTGTGTACAGACCACACTGCGTTCGGTCTGTACTCACGACCTCGGTCAAGATTCTCCCATACAGACCTCCTGCTCGGTTAATGAAGAGCTAAATATATGCAAATTTCACAGGCTACCGGTACGTATTTCCAATATTTAGTGGAAAAACACAACCGTTCGTTAACGACATTTACTAATCATTCATCATTCATCAATTTAGCATCTTTATCACTCTAATGCACAATTAATTAACTCAGTAATGCCTTCTGAGAAACGACTAAATAGGAAATAAAAGATCACAAAGTTAACTTGACCCTGCCCATAAGCGTCCTAGATTTTTTCGTTCGTCAGTTTGACTTTGACTCGAAAAATGCGTTGCGCAAGGGAAATTTAGACTTCAATTGAATTTAAATCCTGGATCAGCGTGAGCCTGCTTTGGAACAACACGATCTCAGCCGGTTAGCCTTCAACTCAAACAGTCCGTTCGTTGCAGAGGTATTACTTGAGACTGACAACCACCAAACAGAACGCTTACAGTCAGGTATGAATAACGCTCAAATGGATCAAAACGCTACCCTTTTACTGCAATGTGCAGTACACCCTGTAACTTAGAAGCAACCATATAGCCTCGATCCCAGGATCTCCCTTCTATCTGAAGCGGAAGAAGAGAGACCCTGGAAGCCAGGTTGATGCAGGGAATAAGACTGGGATAAACTGGAGTGCTAGCTAACTTTTCTGTACGAAGAAAAACACACATCAGTATCTACTATCTCAGAGCGCGGTTCGCACAGATATGTGACCCGAGTCCAACGATGCCCTCCTCGATGTTGGCGACTGCGCTTTCGGTCTTTCACCGGCTCTCTTTCGACTGGTCGTTGCCATCAGTTCTTCCTAGCTATCACGCGGAAATACTCCTTTAGAAGGGGTATCGAATGGCCTTTGCGAGCATTTACGAGCATTTACGAGCATGCGAGCAGTGCGTTTATTTTTCTTTCGAGAAATTCTCAAAAATTCTCAAGAATATCACAAACATTTCTAAATGGCTAAAAGCCCTCTAAATAAAAATGCACCCATTTTGAATCACTTAGTCCGTAATTTTCATGCACTTGCAGTAGCAGGAGTTGGAAAAGGTCCTCTAAGATTCAGGCACTTCGATGTTACCAGTATCCTCCATTTTCGAAAATTGCAGCTTTAGCGCCAAACGGGGAAATTATCCATGCAGTTAATGAGTCTAGGCGCTGTCCGAACAAATAAACTTTCACGTCAGGTCAAAATGAACGAGAGAATTGTTAGTTCATATGATGAGCCGGTTAATTGAAGTCAATCGGAAACTTTGTTCCTTTGCAACTGCTCAGCATCTCACAAAATGTCGACAAAACGTCACAAGTTGGTATTATGTTATGAAACACCGTCTCAAGCTCTCTTTTCCTGATTATTTTACAGCGCTTTACAGGATTATATTTGTTGCATATGTTTTAAAGCTCGTTTTATGTTCCTATGACACTAACTCAATGTCATGATAAGGTCCACCTTGAAGTTGTGCCAACACGCAAGGGCGTCTTTTTATAGCCTCGCGAACTGAAAGCTATTAATTTTAATTCTCTTACTGTTTGAGATAAAGGGCCGGTCATAAAGTACGGGGGAGGGGGGGAGGGAAGGTGAGTTGTGAAAAAATTGGAAATTGGGCTAGGTCACTATTTTTCAACATTTCAGAAAGGGTGAGTTAGGAAAAATATGGCACTGGATTACGGGTGGGTTTTTGTTAAATTATTCGCATCTCACAATTGTATTAAACGACAACGAACGTTAGTTAGTGAAATCTCTTTAATGCATCTCTTTTTAACAGGAATTTACATATGACATGTTTTGTTTCCAATTATGTATAATCGATCTATAAACCTGAAGAGGAGTCACAGTAAGCTTTTCAGGGTTTAAAATATAGAACAGAGCTTTACAATGTGGGTTCAGCGTTTTAAATGTTCATCAGCCTAAACTTTATTAACATATTTATCTTTCATCTTCTTCTAATCATCTTTGTCACCATAATGGTAGTCATCTTCATCTTCACCACAGCCATCAACATCAGAAGCATTACCATCATCATCATTCATCATCAAGTGAAGAAATCAAAACGAAAAGATGAAAGAAAACGTCAGAGAGAAACTGACTCCCACATGAAGTACGCTGATTTCAAATGGGAGGAGATGTAC